GGATGTAGTTCGATCTCGATGGCTTCCCTGATTAACCGATCCATGTAGCCAGTTTTTGAAGAGAGGATAGAAGTGTCCTCTAGCTGTATATGGTGTTCCATGTTGAAGCGGTGCTTCAATTACCGAGGTTAAACTTCAGAAAGTATTCCAGAACCTGTTCAATGTGAGGTATGCCTGACAGCAGGCAGGGAAGGACACCTCCAGCAATTCTTATGAACTATGGTTAAGTTACATCAAAACATGTAACTACCTCTCCATACCCCTCTCAGTTTATCTACCTTCAGTTTGTAAACAAAAATGGAACTTGAATGGGTGTGCGTGGAGACAGTCACGTATGCAGATGTCAATTACTTGATTCTTGTGTAGCATCAATGCTTCTTGGCTTTATCATTGCCTCTCTAATTTCAAATGCTTTCTTCAGTTCCTGAAAAGATATTAAACAAATAAAATCTTGATGTAAATATTTATGGTAACACACCTTACTAACTTACATTTTAGTTATTTAAAATAATGTTCTGCAGTACATACACAGTTGGCTTGACGTGATCTTTGGAAGCTTTTAAGACACTGCCATAAAATAGTATAAAATTCAGTGCATTTCAAAAGTTGCAATGAGCTGGAAGAAATACGCTAACATATATAAACACAGATCATGAATCAGTTTGCTCAACGTCAACCATTTTCCATACATTTGGAAAAGCTATAGAAATAAACTATGAAGTGCTTGCGGACTTCTGGATTGCAATGCCATTTAGTCTTGTAGGTGGATACCAACATTCTGCGAAACACCAGTAACCACCTACGTGATTATAAAGTGTCACAACTACAAAAGCCAAAATTGACATTTTCACTGCTATCAGAACCACAAATCAATTATTTACTGAATGTTTACAATTACAGTTACTCAAATTTTGAATTTAAAATTAACCAAAATGTTAATCTAAATAATAGATAGCATATAGCATCATTAAACATTGCTTTCAATTAACCTTTACTGTTTACTGTAGTTTTCATTACATATTCATAAAAATATTTTATACTGTGTACATTTTAGAATACAATAACTATATTTTTTTTAAATAAACACGTGTACGATATTTCATGAACATATACTTCTCTTGCTACATGCAATACACTATTAACAATAAAAATTCTCTATCCACTGAAAGTTAAAAATTCTATCATATAAATTAGTATTTTCTCAACACAACATATTCACCTTTAATTAGTTTAAGAACACAAACTGTGCCATTCTTACATAACTGAGTGTTAAGAAATAAGGAATTACTGACTGAACACATACTTCCCACTTTTTCATGTCAATCCCAAGAATCATCTGTCGTTTCTGTTGTTCATATTTCGTTTCTATGGCATTTCTTGGAACAGGTGCAATGACTGGAAATCTGTTTTCATCTTCAAAAAAAGACAAACACAATAGTGAAGCCAAGAACAGTGTGATTTCAACCCAGAGCATTCTTTAGTAATTCCTTTAATCTTTAGTTGTCAGACATACCTCAAATTCCTAACATTAACGCAAAAAGTAAATAATTTCAATTCAATTCTTTATTATTAGTGTTCTGTATCAACATGTTTATAACGTATCACCAATATAAATTTCATACTTCAATCCAAAATGTTTCAGAAAGTTAAAACATAGATTTTACGTCGCCACCATGTTGTTAGTTTACGCATAAACCCACATAAAGAAGGCCCCTAACTAAAACTGTATAATTTTCAAAGACGCAATAACACATAAAATTTCTTGGCCCTCAATTATATGGTAATCCAATCTCAGAAACTGACACTGCTTAAACGTTGATTTCATCTATAACTGGTATAACTAAGGAGCATGTGAAGGTGACGTCGCTTTCAAAGGGATGATATATGAAGTTTCATGAAAATTCATTAATTGATTCAAAGTTACAGAAGGCATACACAAACAGATCAAAAGTTACAACATGCACGCACACGATATCATTCCTTATGAAATAAAAAAGTTAAAAAATTATGCAAATGATCCAACAACTTATTCTGCTATATGTGCAGATTAGCTCTATCTAGTGGATAAAACTGTGTAGGAACCTGAAGACGGACATAGAGTCCCATCTCCGAAACGTTGTTTTACGTTTTATATTTACTAGACGATGGATAATATCCACGAAAATTTTTATTCAATTGACTCTTCACCATCGTCAAGAAGTTTTAGATTTGATATACATTGAAATTATCTTCAATAACAAAGAAAAGTGACATCTTTAGCGTATAATGACATTCTTCATGCCATATGCGCTTTTATCATCAAAGGTAATTCTTGCACTAACATAAAATGTCTGCTCAGTGGCGTAGCCAAAGGTGTGCCACATTTTCTGCTCTCTGCTCACTGTTAGCTTCCCACATTTAAAAATTCTTACCTCAACAATTTCAAATATCCATAATTCCTTCATTATTCAGAATAAACAAAATTATTACTTGTTATCTTCAACTGACAACACATATGAAAGGTGTAACTTCCAACAAAGTTGAAAATTCTAGAATGTGAGAACACTTTAAAACCCAGAACAAGTCTTGGACAAAATAAAAGATTTCACATCTGCTGCATACCAAATCAGAGAGAAAACTTTTTTTTCATATGGCTGTTGCAGAGTAAGTATGCCAGGTGTTAAATTTCCAAGATTCATACTTCTTCCACGCCAGTCTAAATGCAAACACTTTCAAAATATTTTTGCTGAAGAACACACACTGTACGTGTGTCTATTTATTTATTTATTTAGTGTTCTGTATGAC